GAATTTTGGAAACAAACGCCATTTTCTGAATTGTTGCGGTTTTGGTGGTTGTATTTTAATATTTATACAGTATCTCTAAAATGTCACTTTCAACTGGGTCCGGCCCTCGGGCCTGTTGGACCGAGGAAGAGATCAGCGATTTAATAGAGATTTGGGCAGAACCCGAAGTCAGAATGCAAGTTGAGGATAAAAAGTCCAAGAATAAAACGAAAATTCATGAGAAGATCGCTGCGAGATTTTCGTCTATGCCTGGCCACTCGCCGACGACGGCACGACAAATTCAGACGAAGTTACAGGATTTGAGGAAAAGGTTCAAACAGTGTTTCTTGGAAGAGGTTAACAAATCAGGATCTTGGGCACCAAACTGGCCATTTTACCACAGGGTTGGAAACATTATCGGCGATCGTCCAAATGTCAGGCCTCCACCTGGGACCGTTGGGGAATCGTCGATGCCACCTCCACCTAGGCCTGGGATCAGAAACCGCAGGCCTAGCTCGCAGTCATCGACAGCATCAGGTTAGTTGATCTTGATAATCGTGATTTTTAAACAAAATTTTGTTTTAATGCTGTGCCAGTACTAGGCCGAGGTACAACATTAGAATACCCCAACATTATTAATACTTATTATAGATATTATTTATGGACCTGGTGGATAGGCTAGGCTAGGCCTAGTTAGTATCTTAACAACTATTATTACTTGTCCTATAAAATATAATAATAATATAATATAATAATAATAATAAATGCGTAATAATATGTTTCCTGTTTTGGATCGATCCCTTGTTTTTTTTAGTAAACTGGCCTTTCGCTTGTAATAAAAATTGTTAATATTAAATAAAGAAGCACTAGCTAGGACTGAGTCGGGATGTACACTTGTGTCCCCATAGTACCAGGACGCACCTATAATTTACCCGCAGATGTAACAGGCCTCGGAAGGCCCGGGAATTTTACATGTTTTAGATTAGCCACAGTTTCGGGTGCGTACAGCGGTAGTGGGGACTTAGCCGGGGATGTACGTTACAGCGATGCCCCGCATTGCCAGGAAGTGGCATGGCCTTTCACATGCATGTTCACCTTGGAAATTACATCCCCGGCTAAGTCACCGCTAGGCCCGGGGGGGGGGGCATCCGGGACTACAGTAGACAGCTGCATAACTGAGAGCAATGTTTCAATTTTTTACCCCGTTGTTTTATTGGGACGCTAACTTGGAATTTAGTATTTTTTATTGCTGTACTAGGCAGAAACAAAAAGAAATTCCACTTGTACAGTATTTGTAAGTTGAGTTAATTTGGTATTTTTTTATTGCAGATGATACACCTCCACGGAGATTGTCGGACTCTTCTGTGGACACACTGTCTACTTCCAGTGGCGGTCATCATGGTAAGACTCGAGAAACTTTGCAATTTACTGGAGGCTGTATTAGGCAGAAACAAAAAGAAATTTCACTTGTATTACTGGAGGCTACTAGGCAGAAACAAAGAAAATGCTTCCTATGCTCAATTCAAAAAATGTACATTGGTATACAGTCTATATTATTTCTCCATAAAATGCAAGT